CCTTAACAGCAACCCAGTTAAGTGTGGTGACAAGACCGAGCAGGTCCATGGAGCTGTAAAATTAGGGTTGGAACGAGTGAGGGTCTAGGCTTGAGGTCTATGGTCCCCCTTAAGTAGATAGAAAATGGCTTTGGGTATATTCTAATAAGACCCCATTTACCCCATATTCTATCTACTTAAGGGGGACTATAGGGTTTACGGCTTGCAGGTCAGGTTATGCCAATGCATGAAACCCTTTAGGTGAGAGTTGTGCTGGAGTCTGAAGACCGGATTCTGTCAACTTCTGCATCTGAAGAGAGGCAAGTTGGAGTGCCACGGGTGAGCCAGCTGTTTTACATGCTTTGCTCAGACTCTCATACAGATCAGATCATTCTTCATAGCAAGGGCCTTGAAGTCATGGTGCCCTGAAACCTAAACTAAACCCCCAAACACAGTAAACCCTAAACCCTAAACACATAGATGTCTGCCAGATTTGAAGAAGCCCTCTGCGGTTTGCATTTAGGGTTTAGGGATCCCCCTTGTCATTAATTGAAGCATGCATGCACCTAGCCATGCCTCTATGATTGCTGTGTGGATCTTTAGTAGAAGATTATTCTTGGGCTTCGTTACAAATTGGACGTAGGTTTTAGGGTTTAGGATTTATGTATTTGAGGTTCGAGGGGCGAAGTTGTCAGCGATTGCCGGATATCATGCTGCTTTTATACCTGAGATAGATCCCTAAGCCCTAACCCCCAAAACCCTAAAACCCTAAAGCCTTAGATCCCTAATCCCTAAATCCTACATCCCCGAAACCCTGAACCCTAAATTGTAAGACCCTGTACCCTAAGACCCTAAACCTTTGTGAAGCTGGGTTGCCAGGGCCGCGCTTGCCATGTGAAGGCTACTCAGGCCGGAAGGTCTCCATCCCCAGATGTGCTATAGACTAAACTCATTAAAGACGCGGTTAAACAGGAAGGGTCTAAACTCCTTTAAAGCGGGTTATAGAAGTATCATATAGGGGAGTATTATAGGGGTTATTAAGGCGGACACTAGGAGTTTAGACTATAGCTCAGAGGTTTGAAGATAGTACGTTAACCCGTAGTCTTTAAATGCAAGGATGAATCTGTACATCAGCAGCTTCTCCACATGGGAGAGTACATGCTCGAACATTCCAGCTGGAATGCTTAGATCTCTGTCATGGTGTAGAACAGCACACATTTTTTGTGGAACCATCTGGGCTGCATGGGAACGTTGCGACGTATTAAGCCCTAAACCCTCAACCCCAAGCCCTAAACCCTAAACCCTATACCCTAAACCCTAAACCAGACCCACCACGATGCCCAAGACATGGCTGAAGATGGAGACCTTCGTGTTGAGAGAGGTGGCCAATGGGCTCTCCCCTCCCCCAGTAGGGTTTAGGGAGTTTAGGGAGTTTAGGGAGTTTAAGGCTTGGGGTTTAGGGTTTAAGGTTTAGGGTTTAGGGATGGTAGAACAGGAATATCTCTTGTGGTCATCCCTAGTCTTACTGGCCCTTATGGGAAGGTGTGGGAGTGGGTCCTGAAGATAAGCCTTGTACAATCCCCATGTATAAACAAAAAGAAATGGTGCATGTACTCGCTCCCTCACGCCCTCACTCCCGAGTGCGCATCAGTAGGGAGCGGGGTGGGCGGTCTAACCCAAGACCCCTAACCCTAATCCCAACCTTAATCCCTAATCCCTAAACCTTAATCCCTAATCCCTAATCCCTAAACCCTAAATCCTAATCCCTAAACCCTAAACCCTAAGCCCTACACGTTAAACCCTAAACCCTAAACCTTAAACCCTAATCCCTAAACCCTAAACCCTACACCTTAAACCCTAAACCCTAAACCTTAAACCCTAATCCCTAGACCCTAATCCATAAGCCCTAATCCATAAGCCCTTGGTGGGGTGGGGGGTCGAACCCAAGAGATGGCCACGTGGCTCTTTTATCCGCGCCTTCGTGCATGGATCGACCGCCACAGCGGCAGCTTGGACGCCGGTGTTCCGCGTAGACTGTTAGGGGCCTTAGGGTTTAGGGTATGGGGCCTCGAGTTTTTTTAGGGAATATGGGGAAAATAGTCGCTCTATAACCCCTAAACAAATAATGTGTTTCCTCATTCCCTGGTGTTTTTTATGGAAATGCCTGGATCAATGTTAGGGACTCCTAATTTTTGTGTAGAGGCATCGTTTCTTTTTCTTCGGGTAACGAGGGCCAAGATATGGGGAATATAATCCCCCCATAATTGTCTATAGACTCTAAATAATATGTTCCTTTATTCCCTACTAGACCCCAAACACCATGGTCCCTTATTTGCTATTAACCCCTCAAGTAAGTAGAGCTTCAAGCAAGGCGGAAGAGCGAGCGATAAAGATTCGGCGCTTGTCCGAAGTCCTTTCTTGTGCCGCCTCACAGAAAAAGGCAGGTCTCAGTGTTCAGGGTGGTGCTTAGCACAAGCGCCAGATCGTCAGAAATGATCAACTGGTTTATTTTTCGTTTGTAATTGCATCCACTGCAAAAACTCTAAAATTAACGTCGCCTGAATGCCTGCATTCGAAAGTTGTTTTCAAGCACGCGCACGACCTCAGCTCTAAGCTTGAAACCCAATGGAGGACCCAGAGGCTCTGGTAGCGCATCTTACAGACTAAGTCATGTGGAGTAAATTGCACATGTCATTTCATCTTTGCATACCGGAAGCAGGTAAATTTAACTGCCTCGAGAGAGGGGCTCCATGCTCCGAATTCTTGAGCCCCCTGGGGTGTAGGGTTTAGGCTTTAGTGTACGGCCTATGTAGAATTCTTCATGCAGACTCCCAGAAGGTGATTGAAATCTCCATTCCTCGCACTAGGGTTTGTGTGGACCCCCATGTGCCCCTGTGATCCCTCTCCTTGAGCCTAAGAAACAAGAAACAGAGCTTGAAGTATCCAACATTAAGCCTTGGTGGAACGCAGAGAACTTGGCCAACATCCTCTGATGTGAGAGACTGGTTCTGGGGTTTAGGGTTTAGGGTTTAGGGGTTAGGGTTTAGGGTTTAGGGTTTAGGGTTTAGGGCTTAGGGTTTAGGGTTTAGGGGCAGGGTTACACACAGATTAACATGTCCCCTAAAGCCTGAACGCCGAGTCACCAGAAAACTGCACAATCCTCGCCCTAGACCGGCGGTAGAAGTCCTCCTGCACGCAGTAGCTAGCACATTGTGCTCACTCTAATCTGGACCAGTTTTGAAGATAATTCTTAACTTTCGTATGTTGAACCGAATAAGGAATGTAACGTGGAAAGTTTGAGCCTCCACCATGAATCAAACAACCAGCAACTGATGCCTCTATGCTAAACCCAAAAACCCTAAACGGTAGTTTCCTTAGATAGGGGGACGCCAATATAGACCCCAAATATCATAATCCTTATTATAAGGATCCCCAAAAAAGTACCCATAATTTTGGGAAGCCCCCAAATCTGACATCAATCAAGAAACCAGCAATTGCTTCCAGCAGAGTCATCAGTCGGGTTTAGGGTTCAGGGTTTAGACCCTGCTCCTGGAAGCACCGATGAGTTTGTCTGCCTGATGCATCCGCTGCACAAGAAATGCCATGTGCTCTAAGTCCTAAACCCTAAACCTTAAACCCTAAACAATGACAACAACGATTCCGTCAGGCACTTGGGCGTTTGTCAGAACCAAGGTCCCCAGGATACCTGCAAGTCACCAAAATTCAGGTGCCCATAGACACCACCCCGAAAGCGCAGACCCCAAACCCTATAGTCCCCCTAAAGTAGATAGAATGTGGCTTCGGGCATATTATAATAAGATCCCCAGATACCCCATGTTCTACTTAAGGGGGACTATACATGATTTTCTGTTGCACTCCTCCTAAGCATGAGACGAAGACATACCGGGGGTATGGTAGTTGCTACACTGGTAAACTAGATAAAGAACCCCAATTGCCGGCAGCAAGCAGTACCAGCATCGATTCGGGATATTGCTGTTACAAGAAAGGGGTGGGGGGGAGAAGGGATTTTGCAGACCAATGTGTTGACAAAGCCCTACATCTCCAAGAGACTCTCCCCAAATCTCAAAGCCTTCATCCTGAATCCTATCCCCGAATCTAGGGTCTAGGGTTTAGGGTTTAGGGACCATTTGCAGGTGTCGGAAACTGGATTGCGGTCGCTGAGGCCGCACTCTCAGAACTCCTTACTGGGGTCAGTGCCCTAAACTGTCAAGCCTAATCGCTGAACCGTAAACTAACTGAACCCTCGACTTGCCTGGGTTGTATGGACTTTTACAATTTTTGGGGACTCATCCCTTTTTCCTCATATTGAACCCCCACCAACCCTGTTAATCGAAGGGGGGGGGACTGCTGTGGCCTACAAGAGCAATAGATTCCTGGCTTCCCTACCAACCCTGAACCTTTCGGGTTTAGGGTTTCAATTTGCTAGCCACAAGGGAAGTCATGACCACAACGCTCTGTCCGAAAGTTTAAGCCCCAGTCCCCAAATCTTGATTCCTCGAATCCCGACGACGATCAGTTTTAAGTTTGAAGCATACTCAAACACAATAGAACTACAGATGACTGCAATCCGAAACCTACCCCTAATCCCTAATCCCTAAAGGCTAAAGCCCCAAACCTCAAACCCTAAACCCCAAGGCCCCTCAACCGTTTAGCCTGGCAATCCCTATCCCTAACCCCTTAAGTCTAAAACTTAAATCCTTGAAGCCCCCAACCCTGAACTCCTAAATCCAAGAAGCTTGATTCTAACCTCTAAACCTAAACCCTAAGCACCTAAACCAGTACCCATAACCTCACGACCCTGAGCCCCTAAACCCCTAAACCCCGAACTCTAAACCCTAAATCCTCAACCCCTTAATCCCTAGAGCCCTTTCTCTCAAAACCTCTGGAAGCCTTAAACCCTACAAACCCCAAACCCTGAACCCCCAAACCATCAACCCCTAAGACCCTAAACCCTAAACCTCCAAATTCTTTGCCAGTGGCCTCGGCGGACCGCTGGAGGAAGCTGAGGCCGATGGCGGCGAAGTGAAGTGGGGTTAGGGTTTAGATTGTAGACTGTAGGGTTTAGGGTTTGGAGGTTTAGGGTTCAGGGTTTAGAGGCATAGGTCTTAGCGTGTACGGGGAAACACTTATTGTCAGGTCGGGGAGCGGATGAAGGTAGAAGCCTATATTCTCAAGGTCTTAGCCCGTAAAGTGTGGGGATTCAGGGTTTGAGGGACTTCGGATTGAGGGGCTTTTAATCCCCCCACAACATTAAACACCCCACCCCGCACCTCCCAATATTGTGTACTCCCTGTGAGACCCTTCATCTGTTGGAGGCGCATCTAATGAAACTGGGTTGCTGTTGGGGAACTTAAATTAAGTTACTATATTGGGGAAACCCGAGTATTTACTATATATACCCATTATGGTAACTTAATTAAGTTCCTTAGCAGCAACCCAGGAAAGTGGTGGCCGCCAGGAGGACCATCTTGGCTTCCCCTTTACTACTGTGCCTTTCAGTGCGTCCCTCATGCAAGGGCTGACGGGAACCCTACACCCTTTTCACAAATGCTCAGGTTTTTGCCAGCTTGATGCAGGGCGTTGAAGTGGTGAGAGGGAATCACAGTAGCGTCTGGTTCCGGGAAAGTATAGTGTGCTTCCGAGGAGTCATTTAAGCTATTCTCGAAGTCTACAATGAGCTCTGGCGTTTTGGGCATTTTCTAAACCCTGAACCCCAAAACCTTAAATGGCCAACCTTCAACCCTAAACCCTTAAAGCCTGTTCTCAACCCTGAGACCCGAATCTCTAAATGCCAACAAACCTTAAATCCTAAACCGCTGGCCCTAACTGCTACGTCGGGTTTCCGCGCAGGCACGATTGAAGGATGACATGCAGCGGGTCCAAAGCTCAGTTTTGCAGAGGGTTGCACAGTGACTGGAGTTTGGGGATTGAGGTTTATGGATTGGTTTAGGGCTTAGGGACGGATTGGGATAATAAGCCCTGAGCTCTAAACCCTAAACACTGGGTTTAGGGATTGGGGATGGTGTTTGGGGGTTTTGGTTTACGGTTCAGGGTAGGTGGAGGTAGGTTTGGAGCTTCAGGGGGCTTAGCCTAGCATTCATTGCTCCCTTTTGTCACAGCTCAGAAGGCTTACAGCAATTGTTCTGGTAGGAAAGCTGGGAGTGTAAAACTTGAATAATCACACCCGGATAGCCCTTACGCAATCACAGTAGAATGCACCCCAAGATAGTCGTGAACATACGGTTAAAGCTTTCAAGCCCCTACAGGAGGCTGCTTGGTTGCGTGGTATCGAACGGTCGTCACTGGCCTTGGTTAGGCTTTACCTTGACTCTACTTGGAGGTCCATGGGACTTATAACCTACTTAGTAACTGTAGTTATAACCCAAGTATATCTAGGGTAACTGTAGTTATGGGACTTATATTCAGGTTATAACTACAGTTACTAAGTAGGTTATAAGTACAATGGACCTTCAAGTAAACCTTCAGCCATCTGGCTGAGTTCGTACTGGGTCCCAAGGGCTGGCTGTCTGTCAGACTACTTCCAGCCTGGTTCGTCATCCTACCATCCTAAGCCCAGAAGCCTAAGCTGTAAAGCCCCAAACCATTTCCTTCTGCTGTGAACATGCCGCGTCGGTTTAGCAGCAGGGTTACATGTCCTGTCTGGTGCATACGCCTGCTGATCCTGAAAGGTATGGTGTTAAGTGGAGGCTTTGTCGGGAAATAAGACCTTGAGACTCACGATCTCTAGACGCCTCGATCGCATTGGATTACAGCCTTCGGACATGCAGATCTGCATAGATGCCAGCCGCTCCTGACACCCCCCTGGAAGTTGGACTAAAGGTCCACTGTATTGTTGCCTCCTTGCAAAATGATATGCACAAGCCCCTAGACCCTAAACCCTAAACCCTAAACCCAAACCTTTTACAACTCCCACATATCAAATTCATAGCACTTCAGCCTGCCTGCTGGAATGGATCTTTCTCCTAAACCCTAAACCTTCTCGTGCAGCGCAATGATAGGTCAACATGTGATGGTTTCCAAAATTAGGGGACCCGTATAGAACCCGCCATTGTAGCATAATCCTTATTATAAGGACTCAAGGACCCCGAAAACGGTGCACTCCTGGTCTGGGAAAGCCCCCATGTAGTGCACAGCTCGCTGTTCAGGGTCCGGGTAAAGTTTGGGGTTTAGGGTTTGTAGCCTTGACAGCTGCAAACATATCCTCGTGTATCGGCTGGGCCCGGGCACAGGACATGTAAGTCGACGTGCTGTAGAAGCTTGAATTTCCACGTCGAAGTCCTCATGCAACTGTGACATCAAACAGGCCCCAAACTCCGTTCTGGTCACGCAAGCCCCTGCATCTATCGATTAATCTTGCAGACATATGCGTGATGCCGTACCCTCGAACTTGATGATGAGCGGGTTAGGGTTTAGTTACTGGCGTGTGGCATAAGTATCAGTGACGCCCGGATGCGTCTGACCGTCTGACACGAGTTGTCTCAAGCTGCAGCCATTGTCGCAAGTGCTGGTCATGGTCCCACCCTTTCTATCCTTACTGGTGGTTAGTAGGGAATAAGGGAAGAGCATCTCTCTGTACAACTTTATGGCACATTTCCTTTTTCCCTACTCTCTCCCAGTGAGTTACCTTGCAACCAACGCTGCATGTTGCGAGTGTTCAAGGCCTCTGGCGAAGCAGCCCTTACAATCTCATTCACGGACTGCGTGGAAACAGTCCCAGACGGGAAGCCAATCCATGTACTTGCCATCAAGCGTCAATTGCAGCGCCTCGTAGGGCAGCCACGCTTCAAGCAGCGGCTAGTGCTTCCAGATGGCCAGATGTTGTCGGACGATGCTGTGCTGGAGAGCCCAATGGATGTCCAGCTCATACTGCAGGCCTTTGAAGCCAGTTCCTTGGACCAAATCAAGCAACTCCAGCAGACTGCCAGGGACAACAATATCCCTGCGATGGAGCAACTTCTGCAAAGGCCACAAGACCCGGACTTAGAATATTTGGACCTTGGAGGAGCTTCTTTGCCTGCTCTGCATATGAGCCATAATCTAAACTCCTTAAAGGGTGGTTATATAGGGGATTACTATAGGGGTTATTAAGGGGGATACTAGGAGTTTAGACTATAGCTCATATGGCATGCGAGTGCAACAGTATTGGGGCTGTCCGTCTGCTGCTAGAGGCCAACGCGGACAAGGATAAGATCGACAGCCACCGCACAACTCCCATGTTCATCGCTTCAGCGAACGGCTACTTGGAAGTTGTTCGCCTGTTGCTGGAGGCCAACGCTGACAAGGATACAGCCCACTGTGATAACGCACCTCCGCTATGGATAGCTTCGCAAGAAGGCCACTTGGAAGTCGTTCGCCTGTTGCTAGAGGCCAATGCTGACAAGAACAAGCTCGGCGATGAAGGTGCAACTCCGCTGTACATAGCTTCGCAAGAAGGCCACAAGGACATCGTGCGCCTTTTGCTGGAGGCCGATGCTGACAAGGACAAGGCCACCCATGATGCAGGAACTCCGTTCCTCATTGCTCGGCAAGAAGGCCACCAGGACATCGTTCGACAGCTGCTGGAGCACGATGTTGGCCACTTTCTAGCCAGGGTGGGCAGCGCAACCGCACGTTCGATTCTGAAGCGGCCATGAACTTAGTCATAGCTACATCTTGCCGCAGATATAGTCCCAGCATGCACACACATCATGCTTGTGATGCTCGCCGGAAAAGTCCCTGTAGTTCCCAGTTCCCGCCAGATTGACAGTTAGTCAGCAGTGCAGTGCTTTAGGGTTTAGGGTTTTAGGTTTAGGGTCTGCTCCTTAATTTCATTCGTGAGTTTTTTGGTTCCGCTCGCGATCACCTATTTCAATTACAAAGGTCCTGACATCGTCCACTCGCCTCAACAGTACACCAACCCTATTATCGTGTGTGTAGTACCTAGATAACCCCTATATAACTTATATCATCACCATATGCTGTCAGTACTAGTTGTAGATTCGCAGCACCTGCTCATCACATTCTTCCCGCACCCCTATTTGCCACCACTTTTCTCGCACCCAAGTCACAAATGCGTACTCCCTGGTAGGGCTTTTTGAGTGTTATCGTGGAGCCCAATGATAGGTTTACATGTGGTAGGTGTTCAACATATTGGTCGCCAACGGGCCGTCTTGAGGCTCAAATCATTTTGGGGGCGGATCTCCACTTCAGGATGTGTAGCACCAAGAGTTCTTCCGTTGAACCCCAAATCCTAAACCCCAAGCCCTAAGCCCTAAGCCCTAAACCCTAAGCCCTAAACCCCAAACCCTAAACCCTAAACCCCACACCTTAAACTCTTAACCCTAAACCTTAAACCCTAAACCCTAAACCCTAAACCCTTAACCCTACACTCCAAAAAAAAACCCCTACACTCCAGGCTTCCGAGCCTGACGAGCAGGTTTTCCTGCAGCTCACGCAGCTGAAAGCTACGAGCCTGGGACTTGGCTGACGCGAAGGAGGAAGGTTCTTCCACAGAATATAGAGTTTAGGGTTTAGGGATCAGGGATTAGGATTTAGGGTTTAGGGTTTGGGGATTAGAGTTTAGGGTTTAGGTTTTAGGATGGTAGGGGCTTAGGGCTTGGGTTTAGGGTTTGGGGTGTAGGGAGGTTCCCTTTAATGGGGACATGGGGGTTAAAAGGGGGGGAGATGGGCTATATGAGCAGATGTCACCTGCTAAGGGTGGACACAGGCGTCCCTTTGGCCGTTTAGTATACCCCTTAGTATAAGCCTGATATATTCCCTCAGAGGAACCCGTGTCCATTAATCATGTGAGACATGGGGGTTATTCAGCGGGATACTGCGTATATACGGATACACCAGGATGTATAGCTTATGGTAGAGTTAACGATTTACGGTTCAGGGTTTTGGTGTTTGGGGTTTAGGGTTCCGGACCACGGAGACTTGGAGAGAATAGGTGCGGGGGTCTAGAACCTCTAGACTCGGAACAAGGTTTGGGCTTGATTTATGAGCCATTGTCTAAACGCCTAGTATCCCCCTTAACAACCCCTATGGTAGTCCCCTATATTATCTTCTATATAACCCCCTTTTTAAGGAGTTTAGACTATAGCTCTATGCGTTCAGAAAGTTCAAAGGTTGAGGCATTCAAGTGTTTCAGAGCTTGGGGTTGACGGGTTCAAACCCAAAAACCCTAGCGTTTAGGTCTCATGGGGCCAGAATCCTTACCTACATTAGGGTGCCAGAATCCTTTAGGGTTTAGAGTTTAGGCTACACCCCCACCCTTTAATTCTTTGACCGAAGGGTTTGAGGGAAGGGCAAGCAGTAGGAGAATGTGGGAACACCGAAGTCAAGGAGCTCCCCAGATGGCTAGAAATCAGGCGGGTAGCGTTGACGGAGGCCTAGATGGAGCTCATGTGGCCCTCTGACTTTTTATGGGAGCCTTGTACTAGCCTTGCATGAGTTTTCTATGGCGGTCTCCACCTGGTAAATACCCATGTGAAACCCTAAACCCTAAACCCTAATTAAGCCTATACATCCTGATAAATCCACACCCTTCGATCACCCCATATATCCTTTTATAAAGACCCACCCACCTAGTAACTACCCGCCGTCCTTGACCATGAGACACGTTCTCTTCCTCATTAAGGTTTAGGGTTTAGGGTGTAAGGTTTAGCTCTGTGGCTCCTCACTGGAGGGGCAGGCTACTTCTAAGCTATTCACACGATTTAGAGTCTAAGGTTTAGGCTTCTTCTTAGGGGATTTGGGGGAATTACAAGATCGAGCCAGAATTATACGTATCAGTAGGTTTCGCACTTTTTCCTGCTGCTACTCCTAGTCCTTCGGTTTGGGGACTCAAGGGTTCAAGATTACCGTTCAGGGGTTTTCAAGCATGGGGTTTAGGGTTTAGGTTATGGTGTTGTGTGCCTCTGGAACAAGGAGTAGAAACTGGCCTCGCTACTCGTAGAAAGGGACGCTACTACTCATGAACAAGCCTTTGTCAAATTTGTAAAGCTCCCTCTATGCTCCCCCTAAACCGTTAACCCCAACCCTAAACACTGATGAACGATTATTGCTCACCCAGAATCCGAAAATTGGACAAGAACTTTGAACACCGTTTCACCTCTGAGCCACGGCGGTCTCGCTGACCTACTCGTGCACACTATTAACACAGTGTTGTCGCGGCCGCTGCAGAGGCGGCACCCCCTACACAAAGTGCGGAGAACCACAGACTCCTGAGACCAAAAGCATTGTTCACGAGAGCCCAAGCTCCGACCACGACCCAGCGAGCGCAAGCGCACAGTTGAAGACGCTAAGACCTAATTTGTGCGTGGAAGCCACAGGCACAAATCCTCAGTACACATCACATGTGAGACGTCATGCTATGTCTTTTACATATCTGGATTGATGGAGCCTAAGCCGCACTACATAAATCTTTGCTCAGCAATTGTCAAGCGCGTTAAAGCCTTTAAGCCCTACATTCTAACCTTTAACCCTAGACCTTTCAGCCCCGAAAGCCAGGCATCGACTGCATCAAGAACCCCTGGGCTGCACTGGTGCAGATCCAATCGGAGTACTTCATGGCACAGCAGGCCTTTTAGGGTTGAGGGTTGAGGGTCTAGGGTTTAGGGTCTAGGGTTTAGAGTTTAGGGTTTAGGGTCTAGGGTTTAGGGTTTAGGGTTTAGGTCTACGACTTCAGGTTCAGGGTGGGCGGTTTCGGGTTTGGCTTCAGGGCCTAGGCTTTTGGCAGGGTTCAGGTTTCAGGGCAAAGGGTTCAGGGTTAAGGATTTTCACAGCTTCCCTCCGCAAACCTCACATGGAACCCCCACCAAGGTTTGCAAAGACTACCAAATGCCGCTTCATTGCAGATAGAGGTTTTGCTCACAACGGAATTTGGTTCAGGGTTGCATAATATGTCTTCGCGCTGTGGGGCAACTACCATTGCACGCAGACTTTTTTTGGCCAGACCGAGATAAAGCCAAGTATTCTGCAGCAGATGATTTGGTGGAGACATACTTGAGATCCCTCAAGCATCATGTAGTCTAGTGCTGGTAATCAACCCTAGGAGAAGCAGTAGTTTATTATAATGATGTCCCGAGCAAACTTGGTGATCCAACTGAGAATATACGCCTCGAGGATACCTGTATAGACCACATACGGTAATTGCCTACATAGTCCTGCAACCCCCACGTCCTTGCTCCCGATCTTCTATCTTTACGGCATACATTCATCTTATCCTCAACCCCAAGCCCTAAACACCAAGTCCTGCACCAGCCACGCATTGAGCATCAGTGTTTTACGGACGGAAACTACGAATTTCTGACCCCGTAACCCAAAGCTACGGGCCCTAAACCCTGAAATTTCAGAACCCCCAACCCAACATGTTGCCCCGAAAAACAACAATCCAACAACCCTAAACCCCAACAACCCTTGAACCCCAACAACCCTAAGCCATAAACCCCAACAACCCTAACCCATAAACCCCAACAACCCTAAACCCCAAACCCCAACAACCCTAAACCCAAGAAACCACTTTTTCCACCTTTTTCCTTGGAGGTCGCCTGGGCTCCCTTAGGCGAGGCCTTTGACGACTATGGCGGCCTTCAGAGTGTCCGCGTGACCTGAGGAAAAGGTTTAGGGTTTAGGGTTTAGGGTTTGGGGTTTAGGGTTTAGGGTTTAAGGTTTAAGGGTTTAGGGCGTAGGGATTAAGGATTAGGGTTTGGGGCCTAGGGTTTTAGGGTTTGGGGTTTGAATTTAGGGATTAGAGACACAGATCACGGTTTATCGACTAGGGGTTTCTGTTTTAGAGTGTGTGTAGGGTTGCGGGTTTAGAGTCTAGGCTTTGCGCTTTAGGCTTTAGGGTTTAGTGTTGGTGGAGGAAATCTTGTGCCACCTTTCGTCCCCTGAATCCTTGGGAATTGCATTGCTCCAGAACCCCAGACCCTAAACCCTAAACCTTTAATCCCTAAACCTGAACTATATCTCTGGGTGGAGGATGGAAGCGCAGGATGAGGAGGAGCCCCTACTAGCTTTACCTATCTTACTACTTAAGGAATTCCAAGGGGCCTACCCGAAACCCTGATGCTACTAGGATTTAGGGTTACGGTGTAGGGCTTAGGGTTTAGGGTATTGGCTGAGGGGGGTGTGTACGACGTCTAGAATATTCCCACATGATCCCCACAGAGTCACTATGAAGATTCTAGACCTTGAACCCTCAATGGGAAGGCTTGCAGGGTTGTGAGGATCTGCACTGCAAGTCAAAATACATAGGTGTTATACGGGTTATACAGGGATAATCGAACAATGATGGAGAATCAGATGGAAAATGAAATGGAAACTCTAGGTCCCTTTCAAATGGGTATGTAGGGATAGAGCTTTGTTGAAGATGCTGCATGGTTTTTACTGCGGCTAAAACAACATGAGCAGTCGTTGGAGCCCTAAACCATGCCAGCGGAACTATTGCTTGAATTTTCAGGCTCAAGGGAACTGCAAATAGTCGGCCGTAGCCTGTAAGACGTGCAGAAAAGGGCGTTTGCTCCTTGGCCTGTGCAATCAGTTGTCCTCCAAATTGATGGGGCCCTATGTGAGAGAGATTGTTGAGGAATATAGATGGGATCATATGCTTGGATGTGGTGACTGATGGCTTGGGATTCCACAGTTCCGAAAGGGCGTTCAGCAAGATTTCATAAATAAGGTTCTCTTTTTGTGAAGGCGTTTGCGCAAATTACCCTAAACCCCAAACATATACAAGGATGCGATCGTCAAACTCGAGGCCGATACTTCGTGGCCGCAAATCTTTACGAAATACATGTACAAGCCGGAATAAATGCCAACATTATCCCTTGATCTTCCCTGTAAGGGCAATAGTATACTGTATCCCAAAACCCATGAAGGTTTTCAGGCCCCCGTTTGCCACCTTTGTCAGAGCTCGTGTATTTATTCTGTCTACGTGAGGATAGCAGCAAATCTAGATTCCTCCTTGAGAGACCCACATGGCCTACTGTTTATATTAGGGTTGCCAAGGGACCATTACTCACTACGGGTGCGCATGTAGGGTTTAGAGTTTAGAGTTTAGGGTTTAGGGTTTAGGGTTTAGGGTTTAGGGTTTAGGGCTTAGGGCTTAGGGTTTAGGGCTTAAGGTTTAGGGTTTAGGGTTTAGGGGCTCCCTGTGGTGGTTCAGTGTATTCCCGAATATGTCGTCTAATAACGCCCCATCTCTGTTAATTAGATGGGGACCATTCACTGAGGGAACATATTCCCAACTATAACCTCAGTATATACCCTATTATAACCTACTAGTTTCCGTTTTCTTTTCATTATCCCTGTATAACCCCCGCATCAATTTTAATATGTACCCTATTGTAATCTAGTAGTTTCCATTTTCTTTTCCATACTCACAGGCGGTCCAGGATCCCTCCTGTCAATTTCTTGACGGGCGCGAGTACTTCTGGACTAGACCCCTCCGGAAGCGAATGAAACAGTAAACGCGGCAGCCATGACACCACTACGTTGGCTACTGCGCCAACTCAGTAGCAGTTGGAGAATATCTATTTTATAGCTATATAGAGACCGTAATGTGACACCTACTTACCAAGTATGGCCAATGGGTGGGGGCAGGACCCAAGCACTACACCCTAAGCCCTGACATTACGCCCCCTGCAACCATCTTGTATTCATCATGTCGCATAGAAGTTGGACTTGATTTCAGGTTCATGATCTGGCGAGGGCACCAAAGGCATAGACTCGAGTGCTGCTATGAGAAAAAGTCCCCTTACGTAGATAGAATATGGCTTTGGATATGTTAAAATAAGCTCACCGTACACCCCGTATTCTATCTACTGAAGGGGTAGTATATTCTGTGAAGGGACATGAAACCAAACCATGCTGATGAGGCGTGGGAGCTTGCTAAGTTGCGTCATTCAATAACGAGGGTTAGCATGTTAGGTGATAATGAAGACCTCTGGTTGGAAAAGCTCACATAAAAGTTTTCCAAACTTGTCCCTTCCGAACCTGCTGGAGGACCCCCAAGAGTTCGCCACATATGCCTAGGGCACCTGCGGGCTACCCCGTCTGAGAAAACCTTGGACCCTAAACCACAAACCCTGTACCTTGAACCTTGAGCACGAAGCCTCAAACCCTAAGACCTAAACCATCATCTTGAGAAGCTTTCCCCCTAAACCCTAAACCCTAAATCGCTTAACCCTAAACCCTAAACCCTAAAACGCTGAACCCCTGAACCCCTGAACCCTAAACCCTAAACCCTAAACCCTAAACCCCTAAAACCTCAACCCCTGAACCCATGCACCTCGCAAGCCCAAGTAAGTCATGTGAGTAGCATTTCATTTGGGGATACTATGGGTTTAGGGTTTAGGGTTTAGGTATTTCATTTGGGGATACATTAGGATAATATAGCCCCAATAATGGAGAATCAAATGGAAAAGAAAATGGAAAATGAAATGGAAGCTGGGATTATATAGGGGTTATTTGAGTAGCATTTCATTTGGGGATACTATGGTACCTAATATGAGCTATAGTCTAAACTCCTTAAAGGGGGCTATACAGGGGATTATATAGGGTACTACTATGGGGGTTATTAAGGGGGATACTAGGAGTTTAGACTATAACACATATAGAGTAAGGTTATATCCTCCTTTTGGGGTATAATATCTTATATAAAGAATATTATCTTACTAGGTTCAACCACCAAAAAAGCCATTACTTAATATAACCCCAATATAACCCCAATATAGACCCTATTATAATATAGTAGTTTCCATTTTCTTTTCCATTATCCCTATCTTACTGGGTTTAACCTAAACCCTAAACCCTAAACCCTAAACCAAAA